GCCTCAGCTGGTTCATGAAGAAAACAGAGGATTAGTGCGGCAAGCTGGTGACCCAGTTAGGGTTGCACTGGATGGATGCTGTGCTAGGCAGCCGCGAACAAGACACAATCGCTGGCCTCAAAGAGCTTACGGCTGCCAGAGAGAAACAGCCCCACGGGCATTTAAGTTATGTAGACAGAAGATCCTTGTGAGGAATAAGTACAGAGTGGGACGGGAATGCATCGGGAAGTACTCAGCCAAATCTCAAAGGGGATGTAGGAACAGATTCCCAAACCGCATTGATCAGGACATTTGTTTGCTACCTGGTAAAACCACCCCCAAATGTCAGTGATTGAACACAATAAAGGTCTTTTGTTCAGCTCGGGCAGATTTCTTGGCGGTCTCCTCCAAATGGGTCTCCCCTGAGACCTCCCCTGCCCAGGCAGCATCCATGTTGTGACGACACAAACTTAGAGCTTCAAGGCTGCCCCCTGAGTCACCCAGCATAGGGCAGGGGTGGGGCGGGGTAAGGTGGGGAGGGGAGGGGGTGGTGGTGAGTAAGGGAAAGGCACATCAGATTCTTAACAACTTGCATCCGGAAAACACACACACTTTTCATTTACATGCCATGAACCAGGACCGGCCATGCGGCCCTACCTAGGTGCAGGAGATATGGACCATGCAGGTTTCCTGGGCCCAAAACAGAAAATGAAACAATTCGGTGAGCACAGAGCATTGTCTCTGCCACACGGAAGAGGTGCTTTCTGAGTTAAATGGGGAAGTGAATGGAGAAAGTGAGAGCAGGGAGGAGGTGTGATTCAGGTAGAGAGCTCTGCACATTGAACACCGCAGGGGTGGGGCGTCTGGGTGGCTCAGTTGATTGGGCATCTGACTCTTGATTTCACCCCAGATCATGATTTCATGGTCATGAGATTGAGCCCCACATGGGGCTCTGTGCTGAGCATGGAGCCTGCCTGGGATTCTCTCTCTCTCCCTCTCTCTCTCAAGATAAGTAAACACTAAAAAACAAATGAGCAAACAAACAAAAAGCCCAGAAATGAAAAATCTTAGTGTGAAGTGGTTGGAGTGAAAACTGGGGAAGTTGGGGAAGTGGGGAAGTTGTGATAAGTCATGAGGTTCAAAGGGGAAGCAGGTTCTCGTTATAAAGAATTTGTGCACCAAGGGGCACCTAAGTGGCTCAGCTGGTTGAACGTCTTACTTCGGCTCAGGGTTGTGAGTTCAAGCCCCACATGGGGCTCTCTGCCATCAGCTCAGAGACTGCTTCAGATCCTCTGTCCCTCTCTCTCTCTGCCCCTCCCCAGCTTGTACTCTCTCAAAAATAAATAAACATTAAAAGAGAGAGGGAGAGTTTGTGCACCATGTAAATTAAAGTGGACTTTTATCCTGATAGCAGCGGGAAGCCGCTGAAGGGTTGTAAACAAGGCAGTCACAGGATCATATTTGTGCTCCTGAAAGATCATTCTGGCTGCAGCACAGAGAATAGACTCAGAGGAGGTAAGGACAAAGGCAGGAAAGTCTGTTTGGAAGTTGTTGCAGTAATCTGGGAGAGAAACTCTGATTCAGGGTTGTTGCAATGGGTATGAGGAAGAACAGCTGGATTTTAGAAAGAACCAGAGTAGTAAACGAGCCTATTTGACGAATCTTTGATGATTGTTTGAATAAGGGGTAGGGAGATGAGGGGTAAAAAAAAAAAACAGGGCAAGAATGGTGTTATTCACTGAGAGACAATTAAAAAAAAAAAAAGCAATTTTAAGAGGAAATACGATATGCTTGTGGAACAGCCTGGGGAAGCCAGAAGGTATTTGAAAAGCTGGGCCTAAAGGCAGATCTCAACTGGAGATGAAAGATGTGTTAGTCATCAATACAGAGACGGTGCTTGAAACTAAACCTGTGGCTTATCCAGGGAGCACGTGTGAAGAGCCAGAGCAGAAGCAGGGATGTGCTATTATGAAGTGTTCACGATCCGCTCTCCAGCAAGAGAAGCCCTGGTTGCAGCGTTTGCTGATGTCTGTGGTGTAAATTCTCCCACTGTGGTCAATTTCAAACTACCAGCTTGTCATCACAGAACGTGGAACTCTGACGAGATGCACCCGACCGGTTTTTGAAAGCTGCTGCAGGCTGCTCAGCACTGACTGGAAGAGAGCCCTGCATGTAACCCTAACACAAGAATTTTAGGGACGGACCGAACAAAAGCAATCTGAAAAGAATAAACCGTCCTAAGAACCAAGAAAGAAAGAACACCAAGGAGGAAATTCATACTCTCCCCCCAAAAATGTAATATGATAAAAACCAAAAAGTGTAGATTGGGTTCAGCATCAAGGAGGTCAATAGTATTCTTGATAAGATCAGTTTTCATGGAGACAGATGACGGTGGGCCTAGAGATTAATGTGAATCAAGTGTTGGCAACCCCAGCCGTAGGTAATTCTTAGACACCAAGAAGAGTCAGGCTGGATTCTGTTTTCCAACAGAAAATCGAGTCAGGCCAGTCACTCAAAGTCATGACGGCACTATCCCTTACTCCCTTCATTCCACTTACCCACACGCTCATAAATCCCTGGATCTCTGTACTTCTCTGCCTTTCACAATAGACCTCAGTAAAGTACCATTTCCCCCACGAGGCATGGAAGAATGCATGTGGCGTGCACTGGACTGGGCTCTTATTACCCGCTAGTTAACTACAGTTCCCAGAACCCCCTTCCCTGTGTGTTCCAAGTTAGAACAGGCCAGAAGAGGAACTTGACTGGATTTGGAAGGCAGCAGTGAAAAAACAGCCATTATCTTCAGGAGGTTGTACAGTCAGACAAGGTGAAGGACAGACTCAGGATGGGGGGGGGGGGGCGGGCTGGGGAGGCCCTGGCTCGTCATCATCATTCTCCATCCCCCTGCACGCAGATGTCTTCCCAACTGTTGGCCCGGAGACTAACAGCAGCCCCAGGTAAACCAGCAAATGTGCAGTCACAGACTCACAGAGGCAACCGCTTCTAAAGACCTGTCTGTGAGCTCTCCCTTTGTGGCCCCATTTCAGAGCCTGAACGGTGGTTGGCCTCTCAGATTTCTCTGCAACTCCAACTCGCCCAGCGGCAGGCAGTCTGGATAATGACTCTTCTTCTGATCCTTCAACTCCCCTACCAGACTTCCGCTTACTTCCCTCGTTTGTCTTCCATTTGTGTAATGTCTCGAATTCCCAACGCCTTCTCTTCCATGATGCTCTTGACGCCTCTGCTCCCCTGACTGAACTCTCACTGATGCAATTACTGGTTCCGTGAGTGAAGCGTGGCCAGGACAAAGCCCACAATACAAGGACTTGGTTTGGGGACAGGCAATGGGTAGAGGCTGGAAACGCAGAAGGAAACTGTCGGCAAAGGCTGGAAAACTAGTGAAAGGGTCGTCAGTAGAGATTGAAAAAGCAGTGGAAAAGTGCAAGGGTGATCTGTGTTATGTAGCAGTAAAACAGTTGGCAACGCTGTCACCGCGGTGACTTGGAAGACAGAAAAGGCAGCTAATAAACTTTTGAATTTAGCTACATTGACTTCCAAGTGGAACATTGGAAGTCCCAGTTGGCTAATCCTGGCTGCACAGGATAAAAGTACTTCCAGAGAGAGGGGGCAAAAAAGAAGGAACTAGAGTCTGTAAGTGGAATTTAGAAGAAACGGGAAGTCCAGGACTTGCTCATGTTGGAAAACAAAGCTGTTTCACATCTCTAGCTGATCCCGGCAGCAAAAGATTCCCAGAGTAAGAAATAGCCTCAGAGTAAAGATCAAATTGAGGGTTTGGCTATCAGACCCTTTGCTAAAACTTCAGAAAGGGGGCACCTAGTAGGCCAAAGGGCTTCCGGGAATCTTACCAGGAATCTTGGTCCCGAAGAGACCTAATTTCAAAAACGTTATGAAGAACTCTAAGGGGAGGGCCTGCGTCAAAAAGAATTGTGGGTATGGCTTTCCTCGCATGGAATAGACTATAAATCTCTCACACAGAAAGCCTACAACACCTTTTAAGGGACTTGTATCAGCTTGGACTGAAAGAGGCTGGTGTTGTCCAGATTGCAAGTAGCCCTCTAAGCCCCCAGGTCTGCATGGGAAAGAAGCGGGCTGAGGAAACTGCTCAGCTACAAACAGAAGCCATTTTTATGGAAAATAGGGGATTTCAGATCCCTAAGAGTGGAACTAAAAGCCTCAAAGAACAGGGAATTAGCAGGTACTCCTCAGTGCAGGCCCTAATTAAGGAACTTTCCAGGGGTGCCTGGGTGGCTCATTCCATTAAGTGATTAAGCATCTGACTCTTGGTTTTGCCTCAGGTCACGATCTCAGTTTGTGAATTCAAGCACCTCTTTGGGCTCTGTGCTGACAGCTCAGAGCCTGGAGCCTGCTTCGGATTCTGTGTCTCCCTCTCTCTCTGCCCCTCTCCCACTCACACTCTGTCTCTTAAAAAAATTTTTTTTTGAACATTTATTCATTTTTCAGAGAGAGATAGACTGTGAGTGGGGGAGGGGCAGAGAGAGAGGATAGACACAGAATCCGAAGCAGCCTCCAGGCTCTGAGTTGTCAGCACAGAAGCACAGAACCCGATGGGGGGCGGGGGGAGCTTAAACCCACCAGTGGTGAGATAATGACCTGAGCCGAAGTCGATGCTTAACTGACTGAGCCACCTAGGCGCCCTCTCTGTGTCTCTCAAAAATGAATAAATGTTTTTTTTAATGTTTTAAATAAAAAGAATAGTCATATGCAGCAGTTCTTCAAAAATTAAAAATAGAATTACCATATGATTCAGCAATGCCACTTCTGGGTATTAAAAGAATTAAAAGCAGGGATACAAACAGATATTTGTGCTCCCATATTCACAACAGCATTATTCAGAGTGGCCAGAAGGTGGAAGCTACCCAGATGTTTATCAACAGACAAATGGGTAAATAAAATGTGGTACACACAAACACACACACACACGCACACACACACACACACACACACACACCCCGGAATATTACTCAGCTTTAAACAGGAAAATGCTGGCTTCGATAGCACCTATACTAAAATTACAAATACAGAGAAGAAAGACTAGCATGGCCCCTGTGCAAGGATAATATATTAATTTGTGAAGCCTTCCATATTTTTTGTAACATTATGCGTCAACTATATTGAAATTAAAACTAAATAGGGGCGCCTGGGTGGCTCAGTCAGTTAAGTGTCCAACTTCGGCTCAAGTCATGATCTCACAGTTCATGGGTTCAAGCCCCGCATCGAGCTCTGTGCTGACAGCTCAGAGCCTGGAACCTGCTTCAGATTCTGTCTCTCCTCCTCTCTCTCTGCCCCTTCCCTGCTCATGCTCTGTCTCTCTGTCTCTTAAAAAGAAACATTAAAAAAATTTTTTAATAAAAATAAATAAACAGGAAGAAAATTCTGATGCTTCAGCATGAATAAAACTTGAAGATCTTATGTTAAGTGAAATAACCCAGTCACAAAAGGATAAATACTGTAGAATTCCACTTATATGAGGTACTTGGAGTAGTCAAACAGGCAGAGACAGAAAGTAAAATGGTGGGTGCCAGGGGGTTACCAACGGTCTAGAGGTAGGGGGATAGGAAGTTGGTGTTTAATGGGTACAGAGTTATTGTGAGTTTTTTTTTTTAAGATTTTATTATTTAGATAATGTCCACACTCAACATGAGGCTCAAACCCCCAACCCCAAGATCAAGATTTGCTTGCTCTACTGACAGACAGCCAGGTGTATGGGTACAAAGTTTTAGTTTTGCGAAATGAAAACTGTTCTGGAGATGAATGGTGGCGATAGCTATACAACAGTATGCATGTACTTCATACCACTAAAATATACACTTAAAAGTGGTTAAAACGAGGGGCGCCTGGGTGGCTTAATCAGTGAAGCATCTGAGTCTTGGTTTCAGCTCAGGTCATGATCTCACCATTTGTGGGTTCAAGCCCCACGGTGGTCTCTGCACTGTCAGTGCAGAGCCTGCTTATCATTTTCTCTCTCTCCCTCTCTCCCTGCCCCTCCCCTGCTTTCTCTCACTCTCTCTCTCACTCTCTCTCAAAACAAATAAACTTAAAAATTAAAAAATTAAAACTAAGCCTAAGAGGGGTTACTTGGATGCATCATGTCACACAGCTAAGAAGCAGCAGCAGCTGGACTTAAACCCATGTCTGTCAATCATCATCTCAGAGAGGCCTTCCCTGACCACCTAAGGGACCCTCCACACTTACCACCATTATTCTTTATTACATCACCCTTATATTTTTTTCACAACACCCTTCTCTATTATCAGAGTGTTTGTTTCCTTGTCATAAGCCCCCCACCAGAATAACTCCCATAGAAGCCGAGGCTTTTTGCCTAGAACAGTGCTGGACAGATGAAAACCACCCCGCACATTATTGTTGAATGGATGGAGTGAACAAACGGCTTTCCATTGAACCCAGATGCAGCCTGGTTTCTCTCTGCCTCTGCTCCTGCTAGGATCAGCTCTGTCCTCCACTCCACCGGCTCCTGTGGCCCCGTCCGAGACTTCTGCCATGATGAAAGGAACTTCAGAAATCCCCTAATACAATCTCTTTGTTTTCCAAGTAGGAAACATTGACATCTCGGGGAGATCCTTTCTCGAACCACATGCTGCGTTCCTGGGCCTCCTTATCCAACCTTAACGTGTAGACAGCAAGCACACTGCCTGCTTTGCTGGGTTGCTCTGTGGATGATATGAAATGATGTGACTTTCTTAAATCTCACCAACCCCAGGCATGAAAAGCAAACGTCACGATAGCAATCTAGCAATCGCACATAGCTAGGAACCTCAGGTCTGTGACGACTTCGCATATGCTAATTCGGGCTCTTAAAAAAAAATGCTGAGCTCTTGATTTAAACACTTTAAACACATCAACAAATGCTCTCTCAGCTTTGTATGATTGTGATCATTACAGCTAACAAGACAAGCATGGTTATCTATGGCTGTGTAACGAACCACCTCAAAGCTTCGTGGCTTAGGCCAACAATGATTTATTATTTTTCATGATTCTGTTGGCTGTGTGGTTCTTCTGCTGAATTTCCTTGGCCTCATTCACAGAGCCGCATCCAGCTAGTGGGTGTGCTAAGGGCTGGGCTCCGTGGGAGATGCTCATGAGGAAAATCTCAGGCTTCTTGGGGGACGTGAGGTTCCAAGAAGACGAAGAGGAAGCTACAAAAGCTTTCCAAGGCCTAAATTCTAGAACTTGCACAACATCATTTCCACCCTATCACATTTGTCAAAGTCAGTCACAGAGGCCGGCTTCCATTTCAAAGCCTGGAAAATGGATTCCGCTTCTGGATGGGATCCACGAAGTCACATTACAAAGGGCTGTGCATTCTGGAATGGGCCAAACTTGTGGCCATTGAAACTATTGTCGTGGGGCGCCTGAGTGGCTCAGACAGTTAGCGACTCAGGTAATGGCCTCCCCATTTATGAGTTTGAGTCCCACCGTGGGGCTCCGTGCTGGCAGTGGAGCCTGCTTGGGATACTGTCTCTCTCCCTCTGTCTCTTCCTCTCTCTCTCTCTCTCTCTCTCAAAATAAATAAACATTAAAAAAATAATTGCTGTAATTCCATATTATATTATTTTCATAGCTCAGACCAATGTTAAGAAGTGTTAATGGCAAAATTCTGTTTTCTCAAGCATGAAGGAAAGCAATACAATATTCAAATCAACAAAACTATTTTCGAATAGGTTTGTTACAAGTTTTTTAATAATATCTACTCCTGGAGCGTCTGGGTGGCTCAGTCGATTGGGTGTCTGACTTCAGCTCACATCATGGTCTCACAGGTTTGTGAGTTCAAGCCCCGCATCGGGCTCACTGCTATCAGCACAGAGCCCATTCAGATCCTCTGTCTCCCTCTATCTGTCCCTCCCCTTCTCATTCTCTCCCTCTCTCAAAAAGAAATAAGCATTAAAAAAAAAAAAAAAAAAAGTGGGGCGCCTGGGTGGCTCAGTCAGTTAGGCGTCCGACTTCGGCTCAGGTCATGATCTCACAGTCTGTGGGTTCGAGCCCCGCGTTGGGCTCTGTGCTGACAGCTCAGTGCCTGGAGCCTGCTTCACGTTCTGTGTCTCCCTCTCTCTCTCCCCTTCCCCCGTTTGCTCTCTGTCTGTCTTTCAAAATAAAATAAAGATATAAAAAATTTTTAAAAATTTAAAAAAAAAGTAAAATCTCCCAAATAGCTTTTTATAAATGATTCTAAAGATCCACAAATGTTTATCCTTTTCCCTCCAGACACACACACCAGAGGTAGTTCTCACCACTAGCCATTCAGTTTCTAGTTCTTTTTCATGGAAAAACTCCCCTTCCGATTTCTCCCTAGTTACGGCAGGACTTTCATCAGCAGTGTAGCTTGGCAGCTCCCCTAAGTTTCCTACTTATTTTGGCCAATCGCCACCTCGAAGATTAAGTCCCCTGAGACAGGCTGTCAAAGGCAACACTCCTGAAACTGCCTGTTGCTTTTTTGGGGGTTTTTTTTCCACGCTATTGGGAAGAGCCACAGGGCAAAGCAATCTCTAAACGTGGGAGGAGAGAAAATCTGGGAAGGGCTGGGCTCTGACGTGCAGCCTCTGGTCAAATCTACAGACCTACTTTTAAACAGCCAGGTGGCCATTAACTTTTTTTTAAGTTTATCTATGTATTTTGAGAGAGACAGAGACTACACAAGTGGGGAGGGTCAGAGAGAGAAAGGGAGAGAAAGAGAATCTCAGGCAGGCTCCATGTTCCCAGCACAGAGCATGACATGGGGCCAGAGCCCACAAAACTGTGAGATCCTTATCTGAGCTGAAACCAAGAGTCAGAGGTTTAACCAACTGAGCCACCCAGGTGCCCCCGCCATTAACTTTTAATGGGGACTTTTGTTGTTGTTGTTCAATGGTTTTTGGAGCCAACAGATATTTTGTAAGAACTAAAAAATACTGGGGCGCCTGAGTGGCTTAGTCGGTTAAGCGTCCGACTTTCGCTTAGGTCGTGATCTCACGGTTCGTGGGATCGAGCCCCGCGTCGGGCTCTGTGCTGACTGCCAGCTCAGAGCCTGGAGCCTGTTTCAGTCTGTGACTCCCTCTCTCTCTGACCCTCCCCTGCTCACGCTGTCTCTCTCTCTCTCCTAGAAATAAATAAAAGATTAAAAAAAAAAAGAACTAAAAAATACTTACATTTATGCGGGGGAATATTTCTCCATGTTTTTCTTAATTGGCAAAAGAAACGCAAACTACTTCATCTACGTTTTTTTTTTTAATGTTTTATCTATTTCAGAGAGAGAGAGAGAGAGAGACAGCGTGAGCAGGGGAGGGTCAGAGAGAGAGGGAGATACAGAATCTGAAACAGGCTCCAGGCTCTGAGCCAGCAGTCAGCACAGAGCCCGACGCGGGGCTGGAACCCACGAACCATGAGGTCATGACCTGAGCCGAAGTCAGACGCTTAACTGACTGAGCCACCCAGGCGCCCCTACTTCATCTACCTTTAACCATTTGTTAAAGAACTTGGACACGCTCAGTTCAAGTCCCACATTACCAAAACTGTTGAAGATAACATTTGTTTTACATGTCTTGAAAAAATTGGTATCGGCCATTTGTACACAAAAGAAGTTAATCAGATGGCAAGACAAGAATAAGAAAATAATTGGGGCACCTGGGTGGCTCAGTAGGTTGAGCGTCCAACTTCAGCTTGGGTCATGATCTCACAGTTTGTGAGTTCAAGCCCCACATTGGACTCTGTGCTGACAGCTCAAAGCTCAGAACCTGGAGCCTGCTTTGAATTCTGTGTCTCCCTCTCTCTTTGCCCCTCCCCTACTCACGCTCTGTCTCTCTCTCAAAAATGAATAAACACTTAAAAAAAATCTTTTAAATAAGAAAATAATTAAGGTTTCCAGGTTGTCCATAAATACTTCTAAATTTGAATTACAATTCATGTCAAAACATTACTTCTGAGATTTTACGATTACTGTATTTGGTACTGTTAACTTAGCTAATAATATCTGTTCACAAGTAAATAAAGCAAATTACGTAGAAGGAGAAATTGATGCCAAATAATAAGTTGACAAATTTTCTGCCCAAGACGAAATGTAATAGAAAACAGGTTTCTGTGATACATTAAAAAGAATTTAAATTTATGTTAATTTTTCTATTGTCTAATATTCTATTTCTCGTTAGTAATTTTTAGGTTCTTTATAATGGTAATTAATTATTTAATAAAAGCAATACATATCTTCATATTTAGTTATAAAAGATCATTATGTTTATATATATAAATCCACATGTGTATTATGAAATGAATTTATTTGAAACCCTCCTATATTTAACAAACTAAGAACTTTTGGATAACAGGCACATTTTCCCCTTCCTTCTTAATATACAGGATATAATTGTTCATCTAAAATACAGTGTGTATTGATTTTGTGTGTGTGTGTGTGGCTGTAGTTGTTTAGATTTTTATTCATAGAGTCAGACACTAACTTTTAAGCTTTTGGATAGTGTATCTGTCTGATCTATCACTTCTTCCAAGGGTTTCTCCAGAGCGCTATAAATCTATAATGAGAAGGAAGTATGAGCAAGCGAGTAAGAAACATGTCCAGGAATAATTCCTTGCTAAAGATGGTGCACAATTAAATATTTCACATTTTAAGTTATTTTTATTATGTTAGTTCCAAAGGGTCGGGCAGTTAGGTTTCACTCACCCTGGTGACCTAAATTAGGCTTGTTCCAGATTTATGAGGACTCTAAAATTAGGAAACTTTCATTAAAAAAAGAATTAAAACCCTCTGGATGGTTTCCCAAAGCACATCTAACATTATTTAAGACTTTATTATTTCAGCTAGTTGGATATATCATATCTACGGCCCTACCCAGGTCTGTAAGAGTTCTGTGACTGATGCCTAATGGAACCAATTTTCACTCTGGCAGACCAAATTCAAGTTCTAATACTAACTTGTATTCCAGTTTCCTTTGGATGCCAGGAATCAGGCACTTTAAGAGGAAAATGTATCAGAGCATCTGTTTATTAAGTGATGTTCCATTTATTTCGTCGAAATAGCTGGCAGGAACAACTGATGAAAGTCAAATCTAAAATAGAAAACAAATAGTTTTTTAATTACTGAATTTGCTGTATTCTTTGCTTAACCTTCTTTCCCTCTTCTCCCTCATGGCCTCAATTTTCTACAAGCTTCCCCTACCTCCACTGAGAACTACAAACCTTCTTTAAACAGGAACAAATGTTCAGGGCGCTCACCCACCTACACTAACAATCATATTACAGTCACGGTCCATTGACCGTCGCTCACATTTTTATTACCCTGCATCTGATGAACATTGATGCAGTTGGGTGTCTTCCTCTGCACTAGGAAGGAAAAATAATAATTTAAATAGAATTCTAAAAGTTGGCATGTTTTGTCAACAGCTTCATTGTTCATTGTTGTCCATCCATCACATCTTGCCTGCTAGTGAAATCTTTCCTTATGTTCCCACATTATTAAAGTCAGTCATTATTAAAGTCATTTCAAAAAGAGATACCTCTGCAACTTCTAAGATACTGTCAAGTAAGAATCATATTTTCAATATTTCAAGTTCTATTGTATTTTCAAGCTTTTGAAACAAATATAATATTCCTGCACATTTCCTAAGATGGAATTTCATGTAGACCACGATGTGACAGCAAAGATGATGCTTATCTAATGATTTTGGCACTGCCCCTAGATAACTGTGCTCCTCTAAGAAAGCCAGCAATACTTTTCTTATTATCAGAACACATTAAAATGCATATTCTGGAGTCTATATGTTTTACATTCGAGAGAGAAAAATCACTGGAAAAACAACAATAGTTGTATTTGTATTCATCTCATTTCATTAAAATATCCTCTGGGCACACTTTTTTTTTCTTAAATAACAATTACACATTAGTCTACAAGATCACTTAAGGGATTATTGTATTGTTTTCGTTTTCACAAAAATCAGATTTGATTAAAGCTTCATGAAAGGACCCAAACACAAATTATTCCACAGTTCCTAATTGTCCAGCCCTTCCTTCAGTTGAAATTACTTAAGTAATTTGAACCAGAAAGCTTAAGTTGTTAGAGGTAAAGCTCAGTGAATAAGCCTCTCTAGATGGAATGCATGCACTCTTTTTAGTAATTTTCCATTAATATGAAGTAGTTTTGCCAAAATATGACTGCAAATGAGAAGCCATCATTCTGAATATTTGAAACGACTGTGGTTCTTGTTTTACTTGTTGACATTTGATATGAAAATTACCGTTCAAGTTGTTCATTAATGCTCTTTTCTATTTAATCACAAAGAAATTCAAAGCAAAGATAATTGTTTTATTGGTTTACAAAAGATCCCCGATGATATGCCCACAAGGTGAAGAACAAAGTAGGTCCTCAACAATATTCTGAACTTCAATGGAAACTTAAAACATGGGCATGGATTTATAGATCATACATTACAGGCTGATTAGGGAAAAGTCTGCTGAGGATATATATTCTCTGTGTGTTCATGTGTAGGAAAGAACGAAAACCAGAGTGGGGGGGGGAGCCACATTCTCATAATGAGAGTTCTCTCTCTCGGTAGATTTATTAATTGGGAATGGAGAGGATAACTCAGTACTCCTCTCTGGTGACAAGAGATTACCGGAAAAAAACCTCAGCCATCACATATAATTTACTATAGAATCTCTTGTCTTAGCCTAGAGGGGATAGAAACTGTTGCATGTGTATTTTTGTATAGCTGTATACACGCATTTTCTCTTCTGAAATTTTGATCCCAAAGCTGCTTTAAATCGAGTTGAGCTTCACCTCGGGGCTGAGTGAGAAAGGACCTTCTAAAAACTTTTGCTCAGCCCAGCAAACGCTTTAAAAGTGAACTAATTACTGAGCAGCCGTCTCTCGATTACACAAGCATGCCCCTAGAAGGGCTGCTCTCTGTATTTTGATTGGGGGGGGGGGGGGAAGTGCTGGGGCTTTTAAGAACAAAGAAGGAAAGTCTTCATCCTTCCCAACCTCCTACTCCACGATTCGACCACTCCATTTTTCCTGGTTTTCCTTTTAAAATAAAGGTCAGCCTCCTCCTTTCTTTTGACTTCCCTCCCTTTTCCTACCTCCACGATCACAAGTTTGACTAAGAATGATTTTCAAAAATAAAATTAAAAAAAAAATATTTTCCAAGCAGGACGTGGGGAAGGAGACCCCATCCACCGTCGTGGGACTCGGTCCACCAGACCCACACGGTCTCCCGCGGCCTCAGCTCTCCTGGCTTCTCTGGAGGGTTCCCCCCAAGGGGCGGAGCACCCCCCGGGCTGGACGCGTGGTGAAATGAGAGTTAACTCTGGCGCCGCGCAGCGCGTCTACCAACTTCTGCTTTTCCCCAGGGGGAGCTGCGAGCGTCTGCAGGTGCTCCTTCTGCTCGGCTCGGAGGGCTCCCCGGCCTGGCGGCCCCAGCCCCGGCTCCTCCGGCCCCGGGCTTCGGAAGAACCCGGACCTGGGGCCAATTTTACGAGCTCCGAGCCTCCAACACCCAAGTGCCCACACCTGCCCTTCCGCACGAGGGAGAGAGTGCGCGACGCGTTTGGGGGGGGGGGGGGAGGTGTCACGCGGGCAGGGCGTGGGGACAGCGGCACAGTGCGGGGTGCCTCCCGCGCGCCCCGGGCCGGGCCCCGAAGCAGCAAGCGTGAGCGCGGGGTCGTCGGTTTCCCTCTTCGCCAGCTAGCGAGCTTTTTGTCGAGGAGGAAACCGAGGGAAAGAAAGTCAGCTCGCGCGTTTGTTTTGGTTTTTCGTCTGTTTGCCTCCCAATTAAAAAGTGGCCGCCTAGGCGACAGCTTTGCGGTTTTCACAGCGTAAAACGGATTAGGGGGAAAGCTCCAGGCCCTCTCGACTTTCGCTTGCGGTTTGCAGCCCCTGGAGCGGGTGTGACCCTGCGGCACCTGCCCCCGGGAGCTGTCCCCGCGGCGGCCCCACCCGCTGCCCGGCTTCCCCTGGGCGGGGCCGGACAGGGCGGAGCCAAGGCCATGCGCCCCGGGGAAAGGAGGTGCCCGAAGTGCAGGCAAAGCTCACACCCCGGGCCGCCCGCCTTCCCTCCCCGGTGCCTCCCGGCGCCCCCACCCTGGGGCCTGAGCTCTCTGCGGCTCGGGGACCTGGGGGTGCGGGGGTCCGCAGGCAGCCCCCAGGGGCCCCCCTCCCCGCGACGCCGAGAGAAGGAAGGGCGAAGGAGGATTTACTGCAGGTGGCACCGGGACCAAAGTTGGCTCGTTCGTGTCCTGCTAAGAGCTCCCAGGTTCCCCCCCAGGACTCTCGAGTTCGCTGAGGACAGTTAAGCCAAGAACGATGAATTCACAGGCACACGCACATTTAGTTAGGAAAAAAAAAAAAAAAGGAAGAAACACAAACTGCTCTTCTATTCTCTCCGCGTTCCCTCTTTTCACTAAACAAAGGGTGGGCCGAAGACGGGGGGCGCCGGAGACGCGCAAGGAGGGGTTCCCTGCAGGCCTGTCGCGCCCGCGGCTGCCCCCGAGTTTGCGGGGTGTGGGCGCCGCACGGGATCCTCTGGCCCGCCAGTGTCATCCCGAGTACTTAGGTCCGAAAGACTCCCGGTCAGGTCTAGGCGATCCTTTCGTGCTAGGCTCTGGTTTTAAGAAACCAAAATAAAAGTTTGCTTCGAGGTTAAAGAATGGCTGCTTTGGGTCTTTCCGCCCTGAACGTGACTTAACGCTTCCTTTTCTACCTGCAGGGAAGTAGCAATTGTGATTTTTTCCAAATCGATACCCGGGCTTCGTCAGACGAGGCGCTGCAGGTAATGGGGCCAAGGCCTCAAGGAAGCCGCGTCAGGGACCAACAGACTCGGACAGTCAGGCCGGCTCCGCGAGGGGGACTTGGAGCGGGTGGGATCACGGTTGCGGCGGAGCCGCAAGCCCGGGTGGGGAAGCAGGCTCGGTCCACCTTAAGAGACCGCGCGGCGCGGCGGCTGCGGAGGCGCCAGGCACCTGCAGGAGGCGCTGCTGCCCCGCGGTTCCGCCCGCGCCGCGGCGCGCCGCCAGCCTCGCGGCGCGCGGGCCTCGGTCCCCGGAGGGGGTGGGGACGCTGGGGGAGGAAGGGAGCGAGTGCATCCGTTAGGTAAGGAACCCGAGCCTTCCCGGATTCTGAAGCGGCCTCAGTGAGGCGTTTGCTGGAGGGAGCTTTCCGTCATTCTGCGCGAGAGGAAACGTGGGGGAGCGCCCTCCCCTGCCCCCACCGCCTGCCTTCCCGCTTCCCTCCACCTCCGCTCCCCGACCCCGACCGTGCTTCCCAGACCCTTTGTTCTCGAGGTTGGGAGCTGATGGGTGGGGGGCTCCCCCGGGAAGAGGTCCCCCTGCGCCACTCGGAAAGAAAGGGAGTCTCGCCTCACTCCCCGCCCTCGGCCCTTCCCGGCGGAGTCCCCGTCGCCCCGCCGCCCCTTCCTCCGCGTCCTAGGGCTTCCTCTCGGACCCGGACTCCCCCGGCTCCCGAGCTGCGGCTCCAGGCCTCCACCGTCAGTTTGCCCGCCTCCCTTCCCACTTCGCCACCTCCGAGGTCTCTGGGAAGGGGGTGGGAGAGGCCGACGTGAGGGGGAGGGGGAACCACGTCGCCTCCGCGGCTCTGAGAAGCCCCAGGGAGCCTTCTAGGCCCCGACCCCTGGGACCCGCCGCGGAGGAAGGGGCTTCCGCCGCAGGGCGAAGGGACAGCCCCGGCCCGCGCCCCCGCCGCGTCGCCGGGAGCCCAAGGGCGCACACCCAAGGCTCGGGCCCCGCCGTGCGCTGCCTCCCCGTCGGCACCCGAGCCCCGCGGTGGGAGCAGGGGGTTGGGGGGGACGCCGTTTCTCCCCAGTTGGAGAAAAGGAGACGCCGCAGTTCGTGCCCTGGGAAGGCGAATTGCAAACGGACGCCCCCTACGCACCCTCTCGGGCGCCACCCGCTTGGCTTCTCGGCCGCGCGCGACCCCGAGGGCTCCCGCGATTGTATCTTCTCGGGGACGGTTACAGTTGGCTCAGCTTGATTTCTTCCTTGGGCGAGGGCGTCGCTAAGTGGAGCCCAGGGGCAGGGATGCAGGGGGGCAGAAGCTGGGGCCGGACGCTGAGCGCAGAGGCGGGAGGACGTGGCTGGGCGGCCTCCGCGAGCCCCGAGTCCGAGGAGACGCGGGACTGCCCGGCCGGGCCCACGTCCCGGCCCCGGGCGGCCGCAGCCCAGCAGCCGAGCCCTCCACGCCCTCAGCTCCGAATGGGCCTTCTTAGAGTGCCATCTCCGCCCTCTGCACGCTCGCGACCGCGGAGGGGGCTCCGGGGGAGCCGGGGCACAGCGTAGGCTTGCCCCCTCCCCCCCACCCCCGCCCGGGAGAAGTGGACGCGGCCTGGGGCCGTCAGCCCGGGGCTTCCTGGAGTCCCCTCCGGCCTCTGGTGTGACCCTGGACCTCACTGGCTCTTCGAGAGCCGCGCCAGCAGTTCTCTGGGCAGCGGGTTCCCCGGGACACACCCCGTCCCCACCCCCGAGAGCTGGCGGCCAGCTCGGGATGCCAGGCGGCCAGGCGGGCGCCCTGCCAAATTCCGCGTTCCTCTCCAGGAGACGGGGAGTTGCGTCCCAGGCTCGGGAAAGCCCGCAGTTTGGGCTTGGGACTCGCTTGCAAAGCCCCCCAAGGCGCCAGGGACGCCTCTGCAGGTTGAATTCCTGCTCCGTATCACTTCAATTTTAATTAATCTTTTAAAACACCGCTGTCACGTCGCTTGCAGAAAATTAATCAAACCTGAATCCTTGTTGCATAGCAAGAATTTCGATCCGAGTCTTTTAAAAAGGACTTGACTTTGCAAAGTCACGTCTTTTACAGTTCCCTCATTCCCCCTTTAGCAAGGGAAATATTGCAAAAGTCAAGACATGTTTGTTTGGTTCTATCTTCAGAATGAAACTTTGCTTATTTCTGATCCTTAGTTTCTGTCTTTGAACAAAAAAAAAAAATAACGAGATAAATTGCCTACCTCTGTTAATTCAAAATATAATTACTTTGAATGATCTTTGTTTAAGAGCCCAGATAAACTAAGATAATCTTAATTTTAATGTGACACGACCCCTATTTTTCCTTGTGAATAATGAGAATAAAGCAGTCATTAATTAATACCAAGATATCTCCATAGAAGATGGTATCTGGTCTCACTGAGATGCTGAAACATCAGTTGTATTAGTAATTGATACTGTATAATTGAACATGAAGATAGTCGTCTATTTTTAACCTCAAAGCTCAGAGTTTATTTGGTGATTACTGAGCTCCTAATAATTAATTTTCGTTTCTTCTTGCTGCATAAATAATTTCTGTGATTCCCAGTTCCCATGCAACACACAGGCTTCTCATTAAAATCCACCCCTCAAAATATAAGATGTGGAGCTATAGTGTGCAGCAACTCTTTCTATTTCATCACTCACAACATATATATGCTCTGTTTTTTATATCTTCCTGCTACATCCCCCTTTGCTGCGATTTGCCTACTAAAAACTAGAATGTAACTACAATATCTTTTACCACAGCTTTGTCCTTCAGTGTGCGAGGGGTTCATTTTAATATATATTACTTGAGATCTCCAGTCTTTCAAGTTTCTGAGAATTGAGGCTAAGTTCCAATGAAGAATGAAAAATTTTTGTAGAGTGAGGTTGCCATAGATTATACTCCCATCTAACACAGCCCACAGTATCTCACACTCTTCTGTGGTTAAAAATAGACTTTGCTCACACACATTCTGTTTCTCCAACCTGAATTGAAGATCTGCTCTCAACAATTTCCTGGGTTAAATTTACACAACTTTGGTCATTTAAAAATAGACATCATCTCCCCAGAAAGAGAGAAGTCTTCCAAATAATCATGGAAATTTAGACTCCACCTTTAAGGTATCTGATTTTTCTCAGCATCAATTTGCTGATGATCCCCCACCCCCTTTTGTTTTTTAACCCAGTGGTGGAGGAGTCTGTTTTTCTCAAACATGCATAAAGCTCCCTGTGTATTTCTTCAGTATGTCTCCTCCGAATATATATTTTATACCACATAAATATTCTTAGTAGCCACCCTGCCAAACCTTTACACTTGACTTAATTGTCAGTGCTACTTCTAAAGTGATGAAAAGTATATCGGTTTTCCGCTTTTCTTTCCCCCTTTGAACAATTAAGACTTTAGGTCAATATATGATGGAGTAATTCTCTCCTCTTGGATTTTATATTTTCCCACTATAATTTAGACTGAAATGGGATTAAAACAGGATCTAGAGTTCTAATCTTGGTTGATGTTTTGGTGTATTCACGGTAATGAGTCCTATTCCCTGGGGTCATGAAGCTCCCAAATGTCAATCAAGCAAACTGATTCAGAAATGCCATTGTTCGACTCCCACGTCACTCCCCTTCCTCTCATTTTATTTAACAATACCGGAGTTCTCTGATCAGTCATTCGGAATATGAGGCATTATCTGGGGAAAATTCACAAAGTGTCTTGATCTTTCTTTGGGAGATACTGTTAAGGGGTTTCCGCAAAGCAGAAAGTGCTTGTTTATATTTCTGTCTTTGGACCGCACTACGGATCGAAGGAACCAATGAATACCCCTTGAAAGAAAATCATACCGTAAATCCGTCAAAAATTAATTCGTCCGGCTGAATGTTACATTTCTATTTTCGTGTGTGAAGCACCCTGACTGGTCACCGGTGGAGGAGTATGACCAGGTCTGGGTCCACTTGGCATGCCCTCACTTTCAGCCCCGTCTGTTTTTTACCCCATTTAGGAACACGAAGGTATTTAGCCTGCACTAGTGAACCAGGAATTTATCTGGGGGCGAGGAAGAGCCCACCTTTGCCCCGGGAGCTCTCCCCAGCCCACTCAGACGCGTCCGGGAGTCTCGGCGTCTCGCGTTTCCCATCGGCCGCCCTGGGTCATCTATGCTTGGGGTCCCAGCTCCGGGACAGTCCCCAAAGCCAAAGGCGTCACGTGTGTGACTCTCCCCGAACGGCCCAAATTAATAATCAGCTTCACTCGTGGAGGCCTCGAGCCTTCGTGCGGAGGAGGTCCCCGAAGATTCCCCGTGCCGAGCCCGGCTCCTGCGAGGACTTCCTCGGAGGGAGAGGCGGGCGTGCAGGGACGCTTTCCTGGGAAAAGCTGTCGTTTGCGGCTTTCACCTAGAGGGCTGCGGGCAAGGAGGCGGGAAGCCGGCCTCCCGTTAGGCGTCCTCACGAGGGATTCATCCCGAATCCCAGCGGCCGCCCCGGCTCGGTGTGCGCGATGTGCGTTCCTACCCACGCGCTCGCGGCGCGCCTCTCCCGAGGCACCCACCCCGGCGCCCCTCGCGGTCCGCTCTCGCGCCCGGGGGGCCGAGGTGACCCGGGGCAGGCGGCGGAGGTGGGGACAGGGGGGTGGGGCCGCTCTCCGGTGGGACGCGATCAATCACTTTAAAGCAAAGGGTTCAAAAGTTCCCGCCTCCCCAGACAGGCTTTCCCGGGGCCTGCTCCTCGCCGCAGCCCGCGGGCTCCCGGCAGCCGCGCGCGACGACGACGCGGGGAGCCCGGCCGCCCCTCGCAGGCGCCCCTTCCCGGGAGCAGCGGCTCCCGCGGGCGCGGCCGGGCCGGGGGGCGGGGGCGCGGCGCGGGCAGGCGGCGGCGGGGCGGCCCCCGCCGCACCGACAGGCCCCCCGGCCGCAGGACCCCGGCCGTGCGCTTTTCCCTTTCTCAGCAAGCGGGAAAGGCCTCCGCGCCGAGGCCGGCGGAGCGCGGGCGGCCTGGCGGCCCGGGGGCCTCGCCGAAACCCGAGCTCCCCGCGGCCCGGAGGGGCGGGGGAGAGCGCCAGCAAGCGGCCCCGGAGGCGGGCCGGGCGAATTCCTCCGAAGAAAACCCCCCAAACCTTCCAGGAGACGCGGCCCCCTCCGCCCCTCCGCCCGGCCCGTGGCCTCCCAACCTGTCAGTCTCCTCCACGCCACCCGGCCTGGCCCTCACCTGCGACCTTGCCCGGGGCCTAGCCACCGCTTCCCCTCCCCACCCCCGCTTGTAAGCCCCATCCCTTCCCTGACCCCTCCGAGGCCTCGGCTAGGGGAGCCGGGGTGCAGCGGAGGAAATGAAATTGTTCTGGAGATTACAGTGGGGCTGTTGGCCAGGAGAAGGGCTTTCCCCCCTCTTTTTCTCAGGCTCCCACGTTAAGTGCAAACTTGTATTTCCCTCCACAAGAATAGACAAAATTTCTCGCTTATTTGCAGTTTCGCAAAGTTCTACACACAGATCAGTGAACCTTAAGCGCCCTTTTTCAGGCCCACATTGTGGAGGTTTGTCAGGGTCCCTGGGCAGTGAGCGTAGTGACAGGTGAATCCAGCAGCCCCGGGGGAAGCCGGACCTAACCCCCAAGACTCACAATAGGGCAGGGGCCCCAAATCTCCCCCGGGCCGCTTCAGGCAACAGGTACTCCGCAGCAAGGCGGGCTCTCGGGATCCCAGAGCTTAGGCCCTGGACGCAGAACCCGCTTCTCAGTGACCCGAGACAGAGTCCCCCGACCCCCACCTGCATCTCCCCACCCGCACCCCCAGGAGATTCCTTCTCTCCAAATTACCCCTCAGTCACACAAGAATCTCTGTGCTCTGAACCACCTGCCCAGACACAGCCAGGCCGCATTTGGGCTTGTCCCTCACGGTGTAAGTCCCACGGATGCGTCCAACCTGCTTGCTCTTCCTGACCTGACTTGAGGGGAAAGACCGGGAGAAGCAGAAGAAGGGGAAGACCAAAGTCAGGGAGACGCAGACTGAAGAATAAAAAGCCTAAGGGACACCAGAGTGAAACCGAGCAGTACCTTTATTGTCCAAATCCCAACCCCCCACCCAGTCTTTCCCACACTCAAGAAGAGAGAGAACCGGTTTCCATAGCTCTGGCTCCTCCAAGTAACTTTTTTTGAGTGAGCCTTTGCTCCTGGGCCTACGCCTCTCCCCAACCTGAAGAGAGCAAGGGCTGTGTAGGTTTAGGGGAGATAAACAGCTTCGTAAGGCAGAACTGCCTCCCCGTAGCCAGTCATCATTCCACAGAGAGCCTGGGAGTGTCAAGCTTCAGGAGCCCAAGTGCTCCGTTGCACGACTAGCCTCGGCCTTACCTAGACCCCGGGCAGCCCGAATTAGAGTCAAAGGAGATGGGGAGGCTTAGGGTTCCTTCTCCCTGCCTCGAGCATTCCCTGGTAGGATCTTCATGCAGAAATATGGCCAGTCCCTAGGACCGTGCTCCACGTGGCAGCTTGGATAAGCGATAAGTGATAACTGGGATAGAAGACTGGTGGCACAGAACGGAGGGGGCAAGAGATAGACACATATGTTTACTTTTGCCTGACTCTGAGATTCCGCCTCAGACCTTCCAGTCCATCCTCACTCAGCCACCAGAGTAAAGGAGAAATCAGCCTTGGGGTTATCAGAGGGGGTAGGGGTGGGGGAATGCCCTTTCCAACCCCAGGCTAGTGTATAAGGAAGGAGGTGATGGGTCGGGGAAGCTCTGGCAGAGGGAAAGAGAGGTCTGAGCAGCAGCCACGACCCCCAGTCACTCTGAGGAACTCATCCTCATTAAAGAAATCCTTTGTATGATGCTGCATTTCTTTCCCAGATTCGTGGCGACCACATTGAGGAGGAGGGCAGCAGGCAGCGGCGGTGACCGCTGCTGCTACACGCAGGCATCCAGCAGCGTGTCCCCAGCAGCAGACTCGGTATCCCCAGTGTGAAGAGCCCAGGCCTGGCCCATTAGGCTGTGACTGAAAACAGTCCCCCCTCCCCTCTCCAACCAGCCTCCACAGTGACTACCCCAAATCCCCAAGCAGATTCCTGGACTGAGAGACACACGGTTCAGAGCATGACTGTCAAAGGGCTAGGTTTGGTGGGGGGGGGGGGGGGAATCCCACCCAATTCTGAAATCGCCAACGAAATCGTGTGTGGCAGTGGGTATTTGTGCATTTACACATGACAGTTGCATGCTTTCGGCCAAGGAATGACATTTCAAAAATATTTCTTCCCCCCCCCCACCCCATAGCACCAAAGGCTGTTTTACGTCCTGCTATTGTGAATCAACCTTCTGTAAACCATATTGTGCATTTTCCCCTGGATTTTAATGAAAGAAGAACTGTGCAAAAGCAACTGCTTTGTCCCAGAGCTGAAACAAAGACTAATACACAGCAGAGGGGCAGCCCTTCCAAGATGTACTCCTCTCCGACTTGGGAGCAAGGCTCCTAGAGTGACCGGCCATAATTGTGGTTGATATTTAATCCTCCTTAGTACAAAGGCCCATCTTTTCACCATGCAGAAGCACCACTGAGATATGACTAACCTTCAGAGTTATATCCCAAACTGAGAGTCCAGGCTTAGACTTGGATTGCCTAGGCCTCTTCTAACCCGAACAAAAAGGATCTGAAGAAAATCACATTTTCCCCCCTCCTTCGCAACAAAGCATTCCTAATCACTTCAGCTTGTTGGTGAATTTTTATTCCCGTGTCCACTTGGGGGTATTGAAATCGATCGCTGCAATATTTAATATATTACACTCCCAGGGTCATGGCTCTTCTAAGACCGAATTCCCTCTCCCTCACGCCCTCAACTCGGCCGGGTTACTACCCTCCTACTCCAATCTGTCCAGGCCCTCTGGTTTTCTGTCCACGTAACGCCTTATTTCTCAGCCCAGCCCAGCAACTTCACGTGTATTTTGTCTTCTGGCATGGACAGTGCTGAAAGCTCTAGGCAGCACTGCACTTAAAAGGGAAAACGAGGAGCTCAGTAGATTGGAGAAAATTAACCTGCCACAAACAGCCTCATTAAAGAGCTGCCTACCAAGAGTTAAGAATTAATAGCAAAATGGATGGGGGGAAAATAAAACCCTTGAGTGAAGAGACCTTAAAACCGCTTTCCCTGAAAGGTGCATAATTTACAAGCCCAACCTAACATTCAGTTTTATTTCCCTTTCCTAGTGACCTGTCCCCTAACCTTGTAATCCACTGTGGGGGCGTTTTCTCTCTGGTCCCTTTCTTCTTGCAAAAAAACCCCATAGGTTTGCAAGTCCAAATACTTCCTGATATTTTTGGTTCAGAAATGCACTTAAATTGTTTGGGGGCTTTTAATTTAGAAAGACACTTTAAGAGACTCCTGGAATACCCTTTGGGAATTGTTAGATGATTTGAAGAGTGCCCTTAAAAGAACTGTGTTTGGATAAGAGGGGGTGGGGGGGAATCATGCAGAAAGAAGCATGAAAAACCAGAGTGAGGACATTTTGTAGATTTAGTGTTCCGAAGGTGCTGTGCTTTATTTTGCACATGAAGTTCAAATTTAAGTAAAGCCCATGTATATGGGCTGTAAGTTGCTTTTCTAATGTTTTATTGGGCATTGTATTCTATATTGGCATTTTATATGCATAATCTCATTTCAATGCAGAGCCGCATACTAAATCCTGGGGCAAGCAGATGAGAATGCAGTATGGATATTACACTCAATTTCATTGGCTTCAGTGAGACTTTGCACATCGCGATTTCCATTGTAATGGCTTATCTTTGGCTGGAATTTTACACGTTGACACGGTATTCCTTCGGCCAGAATCCTGAATGAAGAAAGTGTGTCAATGGAACAGCCATAATGATTCCATTCACATTATAGCAGGTAACGAGGATCAATGGCCCCAACACTATTTATAAAAGATTTCCTGTGGGGTTTTTTTTTCTTAATCATTTTTGCACTTTTTTTTCTTGAAAGAGATCACGTTTGACACCAACTTTGGAGCACACACTAAAGTACTGGTTCAAAACAGTAAGACCTGGGAAACCCACAGTCAGGATCCTTCAGTTCATCTAGAAATCTTGCATTGTGTCAGAATATTATAGGCAGTCCACATGTTACGTAGGGTCTGATCCTATTCAGCTAAACCAGCTAGAGATTGATACAAAGGACAAGATTTTAGAAGTGCTGGCAACCTCCTAAATCTACAAATTAGTTACATTTTCCTCCCATTTAATGAATACAAAGCAAGTTCTATTTTCCTCCTATTTGATAGTGGGATTAAATGACAAGTAGCAGGCTGAAATTGTAGAAGATAATATGAAATTTTGACATTTTAGGTAAAACATGTTTCAGAGGTCATTTTTCTATAGAAGATGGCAGGGGTGTGTAACTAATTTCCCGATTTGCAATACATAAGGGTGGAAAAGGGCTTTAAAAACCCACCAAGATTTTTTTTTTTTAATTTTTTTTTAATGTTTTATTTATTTCTAGGAGAGAGAGAGAGAGACAGCGTGAGCAGGGGAGGGTCAGAGAGAGAGGGAGTCACAGACTGAAACAGGCTCCAGGCTCTGAGCTGGCAGTCAGCACAGAGCCCGACGCGGGGCTCGAACCCACGAACCGCGAGATCATGACCTAAGCGAAAGTCGGACGCTTAACCGACTAAGCCACCCAGGCGCCCCTAAAAACCCACCAAGATTTAAATATTTTATTTTCTTAAAATCATATGAGCCACAAAACAACTGGACAACCCAAATGTGAACCAAGTTCTTCCACTTAAAAATGCTTCTTATTTAGAAGGGGGTAAAAAAGACGACCTCTCTTTTTAAATTCAGCTAAGAAACACACTGGTGGTAGGGACATACACCCTTTCCATTCTCAATCATCTATGTTTGAGGTGGCTCGTTGGAAAAATCTTTAGTATTAACAGAAAATATCAAAATTGGCTTTCTGAAGACCAGTTTGCCACAGGACGTGTAGCACTTGGAACAAAATTAAAAGCTTCTCTGCATTTGCATCGGGCAATGGACTCCATGTTGGAACCATAGCCATGTGTTTATGGAGTCGAGCTCTCCTGGCCTGGAGATACACTCTATTTTTTATAGCCTAACAGGAATAGCTCAGCACATGCAGGACAAGAGGCTGGGACACCCTGGCCTCTCACCCCAGTGAGGAAGCTCAGGGACACTGCAGGCTCCCACACTGCCTCTTTCAGCATTGGTTTCCGCCCGAATCTTACCTGCCTTGCACCTCTGGAGAAAGTATTGTTGACTATTGGACGCAAAGGTTAGGTAGCAGAAGGGGAAGAAAAGGAAAAGCTGAGAAGGCAGGAGAAGAGAAAATAGAGAGAGAGAGAGAGAGAGAGAAGATAAAGGGAAAAGGTAAATAAACCTGATCCTGGCAATTTCTACTGCATCATGCAGGTTTGATTTTGAATGGCTACTACGATATCCGGGCATTTGAAAGCTTACCATCCACTGGTTTGCATATTGGGGTCCGATGTAGAGGCCGAAAACCAATTTTCCACATTTGCCCCAGTGACAATCAGGGTATTCATTTGAACAGGAGGTAAAAAGAGAGAGGGTGAGAGGGACATGAGGGAAAATGAGTGTAAAAATGTGCCTTTATTCCTGGGAGAACCAAGAGTCTAGATCCTTTCCAGTCATTTCAGAGACAGAAACCCTTACCTACTGACCGAGCGGTAGCCCCAAGATCTCTTACATGTTTGTGTCCGTTTCTAACTTTCACAGGGAAGAGGGAAGGCTGCCGCCTAACCTTAGGGCAGTCTCTCCTCTGTACTGTTTTTCCTCTCTATTGCTCGTCACTGATCAGGAGTATTGTGCTGTTCCTGGAGCTAACCTAAACTGATTTAAAAGAGGACAAGCCCTAACAATGGAAATTATATTCCCACCTTTTGGTGCCCAGCATGTGCTTGCCCAATAGCCCAGCCTCCAGGAGACTTTGTTTGTTTGTTTGTTTGTTTGTTTGTTTGTTTTGATGGCTTGGGGATGAGGGTAGGCAGCCACTCAGACAATTTCCCTTCTGTTTCTCTCCGCTTCCTTCAGAGCATCCTGGCCAGGGTGGGCCCTTGCAGACCTGTGAGCAGTTGATCTCTGCTAGACTGGCGATAGATAGTTTAGGGTCTAAATCTATGGATTCTAATCCTCTTCCATCCAAAAGGGCCAAACATAAACATATTGATGGCAGTGATTAGTTGAATAACTGGATCTTACTGGAGAGCCTCTAGGCTGCCTGCCACACTCTCTCCACCTCCTTCTGTCTTGCTCTAGTCTCTCAAGTAAAGGAAGGTCCCAACAGCAGGAGCTAAGGGATAGGGATACCCTAGCATCCTAAGTACTTGGTCTATTCTCCTGTAGATGTTCTTTTCAGACGACTGGGACACACACACACACACACACACACACACACACACATCTGCTGGCAGCATGCTCTCCTAATTCTTTTTCGAAATCTTTGTCCCTCCACCTCTCTGGCCTTAACGTCCCTTGCAAGGGGACAACCAGTGCCCTTCCCCCAGTTAGACACCAGTCAGCCCCGCAGCCATGGCGGCAGCCGCAGAAGAATAGAGAGCTCGCTGCGCAGTACAGCTCGGCTCTGGGCGAAGAAGTCCTGGGAGTCAAACAGTGGTCCAGGAGAGGGCTGCTCCCGACCAGCAAAACACTTTTTCAACTGAGCGAACGTTTTCCGAGCACCCACTAGGGCAATTTTAGGTGTTTCTGTTAGGTCCTAGGAAGAGAAAAAAAAAAAAAAAAAAAGAGGAATGGAGGTCAGCAGTACCAGTATGAGAGGAGCCCCGCATGAGGCCATTGACTTGGGGTTTAACTCCGCACATTTTGGGGTCGTGTTTTTTCCAAACACACGGGAGTGGTCTTCAGGGAAAGCCAAATGCACATGATGAAAACATCCTGTTTTGAGAATGCAAGACCGGTGGAGCGATGCCTACTGCCCACCAGTGCCTTCATCAGTCAGGAAAGGGGCTTGGAAGGCCCCCAGGCTTGAATTTGGTGAATTCGTGCAATTTGGAGCTTTTCGACTTAGTATTGATCCCTAAACTCAATTTTGAAAACAGCCTCCCTCGCAGAAGTGTGGGCTGTGTTATCCCAGTATTTGCACTCATCGATTGGGCTAAAATAAAATGCATCATACGCTCCTCAAAGAAGGAAGAGACAGGGACAGTCACAAGAGGAATAGCAGAAAGTGCATAGTTAATATGGCTTGTACGCGAATCCGCGAAACAAGTGCTTTAAACCCAGGGGGATTTCACGTAATAGCTAATTTGGTGAGAGAGCGAGTGTGCGCAAGCAGAGGGCCATCTTAGAAGGCCAGGAAGATAGGGAAGATATAGGGTTGTTGTTGTTGTTGTTTTACTGGAATTAACATTTCCTTGTGATTTGCATTTGCTAATGTCCAAACCCTTATGTACAGTCCACCTAACCCAATCTCTCCACCGCCCCCCCCCCCCAAGTAGGCTCACGGAGAAATTCTCTTCCCACTGACACTGCCAGAGCTCAGAGGCCGCGGCTGCTTTTCCCCTCGATGCACCGGGTCTTAAGTCCTGGGAAGGCCGCGGGGCCGAGCCCTGCACGACCCCGCGGGGTCCTCGCCCCAAAGTTAATCTGATGACCCCAGCGCCTGCCTGGTTTTGCCCATACACTTCCTGGGTCCCAACTCACTGGAAAGA